GGCTCACAGTCACTTCTGGAGTCAAAGAAAATCTCATGAAGAGTGAAAGGCAGTTTGAGGATCTTGAAAAAGTTTTCACTGTTCTTAGAACTTAGGATATTCTCAGCAGCATCATTAATATTAATGTTATCAGCTACCAGTTGATCATTATTGGTCTCATTTGGACTCTGGCCAACTAATTTTTCATGCTCCAATTCAGTTTCAGAAGACAGCAGCTGCTGGTCATTCTGAGGCAGTACTTTGTCTGGCAGATTCATCAATGTTGCCTGTGGTGTACCACTGCCCCAACTTATCAGAATATTGGAGCTAGAGACACTTCTCTCTTTGGCAACCTCATCCTCTTGTTGAGAAGAGCTACAAACAGGGCCCTCACTATCTGGGGAACTCACTGAACCCATATTGCAGTGATCTTCTTTGCAAGGGGAAACATTCTCCTTACCAACAGTGTCATTACAGCTCCTCTGTGTTTCTAGAGTTGCTCTGATAGATGACTGGGCAGTTTCCATTTCTGTGGGCTCTATGATGTTAAAAACCGCATCACTTGTGCAGGTCCTGTTAACCTGGATGTCTTTCACATCACTGTGAGGTAAAGTATAGTTCTCAGCCTCAGAGCCTTTTTTTTCAAAACTGGTGCTTGAAGATGGGGAACTTGAGGTAGTTCCATGCCCAGAATCTGACCCGACAACTGGGCTTCTCTGACCATAGTGACCTACACTTGTCTGTGTGGGTTGTGGGGGTTCTGTTTGGACCTCAATGTTCACAGTTTGCCTAACAGGGACAGTATGAGGCAGACGAATTCTATGCGTCTGGTTTGGGTTCTGGATGGATGTGCTGGGTACATGGACCTGGGGCTGGAGTAAGAGCCTGTAGTCAACTGGCTGGATGTGAGGCTGAGGCAGAATGTAGGTTGGAGCCTCCATGTAGGGGGAAAAGGTGGGCATGACCATACCATAGCCTGAGAGGTAAAAAAAAAAATTCTTCAAATGAACTGAGAATGGTTCAAGTGTACAAACACTTCCAGTGTAATTAAGTTACCTGATATCAGTTTAGAGACTTCTAAAGTGCACATCTGACATGTTTCAGGGCTGTATATAAGACAACAGCGTTGTACAGGCATTTGTAACAAACACTAAAAGGCAGGAAAACCTACAGGACTTACCCATGCCTGGGAAGCCAGCAAAGGGGTTATAGGAGAAGGGCATGGGCCACTGGTAGTGGAGGAAACTGGGTGGGGGTGGAGGTGGAGCATGGATATACAACAAAGGTCTGGCAGAGACATGGTGCTGGGGATTGCATGAAGGTCCTGGGTCTTGACTGGTGCCGTGCAGCCCTGTATCCTGCTGCCTGGAGTTTGATGCACCACTGTTAGTGTGAGAGGGTAGGTTCCCTCCATTTGGTCCAGGATGACTCATATTCAGCCTGCATTGTAAGGAAGGGCATTGTCAGACAATGAAGACACAAACTGGCTCATCAAGATCAGTCCATATTCAAAATATGCTTAAGTACAATACATTTTAACTGTAGAATGTGAATCATTACAAAGGTTTACCCTCTACTGGTCTGGCACTGTGGCAAATGGGCTTAATAGTGTTTCATTTTGGGGCTATTTTCAGTGGTACCCTCCTGCTTCCACACTCTAGTGTGTGTGTTCAGGTTAATGGGCATGTTATGCAACACTGGGCCTCACTGATGACTGTTTTAATAGTTATTGGACAATGAAACTTTGTGGCACAGAGGAACATATCGGGCTTTGATACATGTTCATTAGGAGATGTGGAGGGTTTCTGTCTCCACAGGAGATATATTTACTAAGAAAATTACCAGACAAGGAAGTGATAACTAGCATCTGATCCCATCTTAAAATAATCCTGCTTTTGTTGCACCTGTTATGTAGAGTGGTCACAACTACCACTCACAACAGCCTTCATGGGCCACAAAAACAACTAAAATAACTAATACATTCCTTTAAGTTTGTCACTAAAACATGTCAATAAAAAAAGTCATTCTTGTTCTTTACCTGCAATGACACCTGAAAAGCTGTTTTTTTTATGTTGCAGTAGCTAGTAACCTGTATCTACATGAACAGATATGAGAAGCAGCTTTAGTGTCAGGGTACAGGAAGGCAGTAGCCAGAAGCAGCTAAACTGCTAAAACATTTGAACATTTAAAATATTGTTTTTTTGTTTTTTTTTAAAGTTCACAGAGCTACAACCCACCCCAATAAACATGCATCCAAATACTTAATGCATTTTTAGTGTTGTTGGGTTTTTTATTATTATTTTTGAGGCACAAAGAAAGGAATCACTTTACCTTGATGAGAACTTGGTTGTAAAAAACACAGAGCAACACTCAAAGTGACTGAAGCAAGCAGCAGACACACCTGAGTTAAGTGGCTGCTGATCAGACACATGTGTGCAGCATCAGATGATTTGAAGTTCTAAAGCCGGTCAGAAACCCAGAAACTTCCTGCTAACTGTATGTCAGTGCGCTGTCACAACGCTAGATGGCGCCAGTCAGTCAATAAAGGTCTCAGCCTGCGAGCCTCCTTCTTAAAGCTACAGTATAATGCTGTAGATATTCTCTATACATCTTCTGTCTGATATCTGCCTGAATTACAGCCATTGATTCATCACCATTCAGTAAACTCTTCTGCTCCCCAAACTCTCCAGCCTCTTCCAGTTTCAGTATATAATGCAATAAATGGATTGCTTAAAGCAATATTTTATCAGTACAGTATATTACAAAAAAAACTCAAATGATACATTTATTATAAAAATAGATTCACAAAACATGCTTTAAAAAGGCTTTTAACTGTCACTTTCCATCATATTCCATCTCACAGTTCACTTGTTTCCTGCTTTAACAGTTATAGTTTTTCCTTCTGTGGTCGGTGCAACACACAAAGCAGCTGCAGGACCTCTGACTGGCTGGCTGCCATGTAATTGCTGGACTTTGCACAACTCAGCAATTTGTGTTTTATTAATGCACAATTTAGTTGCATAACCGTTTATTTCAACTATTTCAATTATTCAACTTAATATATCATTAAACACCAATAAAATTTAGAGTTAGTGAACCCAAAGAAGGAAGTTCGAAAATTCCTCTTTCCTCAACATCTCTTCATGACCTCATTTCCATGGTGATAATTTAAAAAGGACATTGTTTTGGATCCACTCTGGAACAGGGTTAATTGCTGTGCACACTGCCCATTTTTACAATACTGAACCTTACAGATCTGTGTCTACACTACGACACCAAACATTGTGGCTCCTTCACAATTTATTACACAGGCCAATTTTATAAGATTGTCTCAGTCTGGCGTGGTGCTCTTCATACAATATTTGATTCATCAGTCCCAGCACAGGTCTAAAATGCTGAGCTGATAAAAACCTTACATGTTCAGATACATTATGGACCAACCCATCCTGCCTCCTGAGAAAATCTTTTATGAATGTTCATTCACATATTCCATACATTAAAAATTGACATGCATGGCTTGCAGCAAATGCAACTATGAATAGAGCTGAGGAGGCAGAAACTGCCTTTTACAGACTGGGGGAAAGGCTGCAGGGAAAAGGAGACAGCCAGCAAAATACGATCACTATGGTCTGCCTTGCATGGTCATGAATTAAGGACTTTTTCCCTCCACTTTGTCCATGCAGACCACCAACCCCGCAATTAATTGACAACTCATCTGTCACCACAAGTTACCGTCACCCAGTGCTACAACCATGCTGCAGCGAGCAACTCATTTATCCATCATAATCATTTATAATCATCATCATAACCACAATCATCATTTATCCATAGTATGGTCCATCTTATTCCAACCTACAGGCAGAAACTTAAAGTTGCGAAGTCAGTGGTCAAAACAATGAAGAGCTGGACAGAGGAGGCTCAGTCAGAGCTACAGGCCTGCTTCGAATTCACAGACTGGAGTGTATTTGATGATGCAGCTACAGAGCTGGATGAACTCACTGACACTGTGACATCTTACGTCAGCTTTTGTGAGGATATGTGTGCCTACCAAGTCCTTCTGTACATACAACAACAACAACAAGCCCTGGTTCACAGCAAGACTCAAGCAGCTTCATCATGCCAAAGAGGAGGCCTACAGCTGTGGGGACAGAATTCTGTACAGCCAGGCCAGGAACACACTGACAAGGGAGATCAGAGCAGCAAAGAGGAGCTACTCTGAAAAGATGAGTGACCGGGTCTCGGTCAACAACCCGTTGTCAGTGTGAGGCAGCCTCAAAAGCATCACTGGCTACAGGAAGCCATCCCCGCTGCTGTGGGGAACCATCAACTGGTAGATGACCTGAATGCATTTTACTGCAGCCACTCACCTGACAATTACCACCCTTCCTCCCTGGTCCCCACCTCTAAAGATCTGTGAAAAGGATGTGCGTGGCCTCTTTAAAAAAACAAAGGATCAATAAGGGGAGTGATTGTCCAACATCAGCGCCATCATCAACAAGGCACAGCAGAGGATGTACTTCCTGCGCCAGCTCAGGAAGTTTAACCTGCCCCAGGACCTACTGATGCAGTTCTACAGAGGAGGCATCAAGTCCATTCTCTGCACCGCCATCACTGTCTGGTTTGGCTCAGCAACCAAACAATCTGTTCTCCACTCTTCTCCACTTTATATGTTTACAGACAAAGGCATCATTTAACTTAGCCTGCAAAATGTTTCATTGAAAAGCTGTCTCCACCCCAGTTTTTTATATTTTATTATATGAAGATGCAGTTGCCATGGTTACTGTTGTCACTCAGAGAGAGTGGCATTGTATGTTACTGTAGAGTGGCGGAAGCGGTGATTGTAGTGCCGAAGACAGGAAGTTGGTGAGGGAATCCTTTCATTACATAATATTTGGAGCCAACACAGAGGATTAGTCATGCATCTCTCCACCAAAGCAGAACAGTCTGTTGAAGCAGCAGATTAACAAAACACATATTTACAATCACAACACAACCTTCACATTCATGTTAGGAAATTTTCATTTCTGTCTCCTTCCTCTGGTTTTGTCTGTCTCTGAAATAATGGCCTGTACTCTGTGAAGCAAAGGGCCCATTCAAATTCATTAAAGCTCTTCCATATTCTGACAGCCACACTACACAACAAACACACACACACACACACACACACACACACACACAGTAAACCTCTCCGGTTTGCCTCTGAAGTGGATGTGGTGACATGGCATTGTCAGCAACTTTTGAAGCTCTGTGGTGGTTCATCTGTCCTCTCATTAACATGCTTTTCATATTTCAGTAGACAGTGGACAGAGACATGAAAGACATGAAGAGAGGACCAAAAGCAACAGTGTCATCAAAGACATTTTTTATTTATTGTTAACACACAATGTTGACAACAGCACCCATTGTCTCAAAACACAATTCACAGAATCACACACCCAAAGTACAAAACACCTCACTCATGGTGCAAAATGAAGCATTACACACAAAACTACAAAAAGCCTTATTAAAATCAAACCTTTGCACCAAATGCTGCATCCTTCATTCATATTAACTGACTAATTTTCAGGAAATTAAACACTGCTGTGCTAAATTAATTACAGATGTGTAAATGCAAGATATTAATATGGAAAATGTTATACCCCAGTTCATTTATTGGACAGATCTGAATAACGAAGGAGTCCGTCTTTCTTCATTTTAGTGCTGACTTATTTTAAACCACAAGTAAAAAAAACAAACATGACCCAGGTTGCTCCCCCCGC